AACACCTACACATAATCATCACAGCATGCTAGAAAGGGGGAGAGAAACATATCCAAACCAGGAAAACTATAAATCCCAAGCACTCCCCTCAAATGACATACCGCCATAGTTTAAACTAAATTCCGTCAAGCTAAATCATGCATACATACTTTATGAAAATCTAAATTATTCAACAGAGACGTAGGCAGTCGCGAAAACAACATTCGACAGTGTCTTCCATATCTTTGCATTCCTCTGCTTCTTATCAAGCTTTACTTTCATCTTACGGAGTTCCTCCAGAAGCAGAACCTGCTGCTCGTAGACGGACTTGTACTGAGTCACGAACTCATCACCAAAAACGTCTCCCACGTTCTTAAACTTGTTCAGCTCCTCCAAAGTTTTTGCATACTTCTTCTTCTTATTTCCACCAAGATCCTCTGTCTCAAACTGTTTCACCGCAAATCGAATGATAAGCTGGCTGATTTCTGTTCTCTTGACCCAATTCTCGACGGTATTGAAGAAATCTAAGGTCTTGGCGGTACTCTTAAAGTAGGCATTAACCAATGACATTAGATCTTTGTTCTTCCACACATCTTCTTTACTTTCAATAATGACCCTTACCACATCTTCGCTTAGTTCAAGTAGAAACCCACACACCTCTATGTGCGAGTTTAGGGATAAAAATTGAGTCTCGCCCTCAGCACGCAGCACACTGATGAGTCTATTCGTTCGTTGGTGAAGCAAAGAGTCAAAGGATCTGAGGTTGAAATCTTCTTTACAAGTGGATGTGTAAGAATTCTGGTATCCCGAGTATTTTGACCGGATATCTTTTCGGAGCGTTATAACCGGTGAAGCGTTGGTTCCGTTCCTTTTAGAAGTGGAGTTGGAGTCTCGCTCCGAAAACAACCTCAAGAACGCCATTGTTATTACTGGTGGAGCTAAGCTGACCTTAGAAACGCCAAAATGTAAAGGAGAACAACTAAAAAATATTAAAAGAGATTTAGAACAGAGTTTTTTTCCGAATATTTAGAAGCAATAATAAAGATATCATAAATATTTGTTAATATATGTTTTTCTAACGTAAAAAAATCATTCGTTAACAAACATCTGTTTTTACAATTGAATTGCATCAGTTTTTGAAGTTGGAAAAGTAGAGAAAACAAAAGATCAGATCGAAATCTTGTGCTAAACCAGAATGCAAGAAGCGATTCGAAGCCGTGGTCGCCCATTGGAGGGATGGCATTGGAAGTATATTTTAATATCAACATATTTTCATATACTGTATGTACA